TCAAACAAATGTTATTTGTTGGTTTAATGGTCTGTGATGGTTAATAATTAGTTCAGACAAAAATAGATTTTGGATGTGCCTTGCTTGTAATAAGGTAATGCAGTCTAAAATGATCATCACTGCTGCACTTATAACAAACATTACACATTATTGATCTCTCATCACTTTAAATTATCTTTGCGTTACTTTGCAAATGCATTACTGAAGACCAGATGTCCATGCTTAATTAGCTCTGCAGAAGACCTCTGTCATCTGTATGAAATTCTAAAAAAATCCCAAATACATTCACTCCAAATGTCTGTCCTCTAACACCTGCTAACACCTGGTTCACATGGAGGTAGCCTGTCTGCTCTTAGCCTGATTAAATGTTTTTTCTCACAGGTAGCTCAACAGCTGGCCTGGTCTCTCCTTGTAGCTACAATATTAATCAAGGAGCTGACAACAGTGTTGAAAGCTTCAAACCTCGGTCAATTCCTCTTTTAAAATTAATTTTTGAAGTGCCATCCTGTAGTAAGTGTCAGAAAGTAACTTAATGGATGTTTTTTGCTCCTGTTAAAGGACAATTAGAGAGAAATGATGAGCATCAAAAGGAACTTATCACTTGTAAGTGCAACTAATTCACAATATAATTATCAGAAAATGTTTTAGTAGCAGGTGCGCTGATTTTATTGAAGAGATATGATATCATTGATGACAACTGTTACTTGGCAGTATGACTTTAAAGTGCATCTATTGGAAAAGCCACAGGCTAGCAGTGTTTGGCCACTATTAGAAGCTGCATGCTTTGCACAAACTTGCTCATGCTGCCTTGTGGCTTCCTGCCCCATTCCTCTCAAATTGCCTAGACAAGAAAGTTCCTTTTCACTGGTATCTGAGCCCTAAATGTCACTTGACATCCTTGCTCATCACCTGAAATTTTGATGTAGCTCAGGTCTGGTTCTATAAGAGTATCTTTCTGCTGCAGTGCTGTCACAACAGGATGAGTCCACAGGAATTGCAGTACGTGATGACACAGGACTTTATCCATATACTGTACTGTAACATCATGCAGTCAGGTTAACGTCAGTTTCTATAAGTGGCGTTCTGTAGCTTGCCGACATTCATCAGGTTAGTTTACATAAAGTCTTGATTCTTTGCTGAAGAAGACTTATCTTAACAGCTGGT